GTGTGTGTGTATATATATATATATATATATATATATATATATATATACATACACATAAATATATACACATATGTGTGTACATATATATTTGTGTGTGTGTGTATAAATATATATATATATATATATATATATATATATATGTGTATATATATATATATATTTATACACATGTATACATGCATACACACAACTTCAAAATAACATAAATACTCAACCTGTACTGAAAACAGTTTCTGCGTCTCAGCGCCACCAGCTGGTGAGAGGCCGTGACGTCAATTTGAACCCCGCCCACTGGAACCGGTACTGAAAGCATAATGGAAACACAACCTGTACCGTACCGAGTAGAGTAGAGCCGGGCTGTACCGGCCCGTACCGGTACTAATGGAAAAGGGGCACAACATGCATGTTGATGAGAATCAAAGTTTTTAGGACTGATGAGCCCAAACTGGAGCTTTCGGCCAATAATATTATTTGTGGTTATTTCTGAGTGTTGAAGGGCAAAAAGATATGTATCCTTATAAGCATATCACTCAATTCTCCATTGTCTTGTCAGAAGAGACATTTTTACAATTCAATTCAATTCAATTCAAAAATACTTTATTAATCCCAGAGGGAAATTATTTGTTGTTGTAACTCGTTATCCTCATTTCATTAAGAGATGTTATAGATACTGATGGCTGTAGACAGGAAGGATCTCTTGTAAAGGTCCATCCCACAGTGGATCCTAAGAAACTGGCTGCAGATGCCGTCCGATCCGTCCACCCAGACTTGGTTGGCCTCTCGGTTCCCCTCGGGCTGTAGGACCGCCCAAATGCTGGGCAGAACTCCTCCCAGAGCGATGACCACTCTTCCCAGCAGTCTGCTGAGCTCCTCGTCGCTGCGGACAGCCAACTGTAGGTGCCGAGGGACGATCTTGTCCTTCCACTGCCATGAGCTGTGTCTCCCGCCAGCTCCAGGATCCCAGTGGCCAGGCACCCAAGCACAGCTGGTAGGCAGATGAGAATGCATCCACAGAACATCCTTTTCAACTCACTTGAGATTTTGGGCTGTAGTTGAGATATTATTTGAGCTTTTGAGATGTTAATCAGCTGCTGTTATTTGTAGAAAACTGCCTTGTTGCCATGGTTATGCATCGTAACAAATGTCCAAAACTAAAAAAGTTTCAGTAAAAATCCTTCCAGCTGCACAGCATCTGACATCAGAGGAAACAACCATCCAAAAAAACGTGACCCACATCCAGAAAAAGAGGAATTAAAGTTTCCAAAAGCAAAATCTCAAAATGAAAGCAACAGAACCGCTCCACCATGCAGCCACCTTGAGCGGCGCAACTCTAGAACAACACTATGATACTAATTTTACTTCGTTAAAAACTCATGTATTTATTTTTTGCCTTTTAGAAAATTATTGTGTAAACTCACTTGATACAGATGGCTTTTTGGACAAGAGCTTGATTTACTGACGTCCCCTTCAGTACCTAAAAACACAGCACAGACAGACATTTACTTTACAGTATTTCCAAAAACATTTTGCTGCAAACCTTAATGATCATGTTATCAAATGACTTTTCACATTATAATTACAGCAATATTCTTTACAAAATACAATAATGTGTTTTATTATTGCAAGTATTCCATGTCAATGTTGAAGTCAGATACAGAAGTACTCTGAATGTGTACACATCTCAGATTTATGGGAAGTTCAGACTGCTATGTTTTCCCATGTGAAGCTCCAATTGATTCTCATCACCAGCCTGATCAAGAAAGCTCATCAGAGACTCTACTTCCTCAGGCGGCTGAGACGAGCTGGTCTGGGAAGCTCAGTCCTCACCTCCTTCTACAGGTGTGCAGTGGAGAGCATCCTGTGCTCCAGCATCAACGTGTGGCATGGAGGCTGCACAGCTGCAGAAAGAAAATCTTTGCAAAGAGTGGTGAAGGCTGCACAGAAGACTGTTGGAGTCAGTCTCCCCACCATCACAGACATATACACTTCCAGAAGCAAGAAGAGAGCCACCTGCATCATGAAGGACCCCACTCACTCAGCACACACACTTTTTGCCCCGCTCCCCTCAGGAAGGAGGTTGAGGAACATTAAGTGTAGAACCACTCGACTGAGGAACAGCTTCTACCCTGAGGCTGTTAGACTCATGAATCTCTAACCAGAATAATCACTGCGAAAAATCATATCATGTTGTTGCTGATCTATTTCAATGTTGGTGTGTTTATGCGTGCTCATCTGCTTACACGGATTCGTGTTCAGGTTTGTGCTGATGTTCGACGTGATATTTTTATGTTATTAGTGCTTAGTGTATATTTAGTTGATGTTTTTCTTAGTTCATATCTTAGATGTTATTATTGTTTTTCTTTTACATTTTATTGTTGGATGTAACCGGGACCCTGTGTACATAATTTCGCTCCACCACATGTACCACATGAGGTGCGAATGACAATAAAGAATCTCTGACTCTGATCATTACAGCCCAATCGATATATCGGTGGTGCCAATATTTTAGGCCAATATAGGCGTTTGGGGACCTATTGGTATCTGTGATAATTGGCCCATTATGCGTGGATATAAGCACTTCTAACTTTCTCCTAAAATGCTGGAACCCAGCCTTAATTGTACAATGTATTCAGCAGAGGGTGCCGGAAGACTGGTTTCAAAGCATTGCAGTTCACTTAAGTTTCACTTTCACATTCAGCACAGAGGAAGCAGCAAGCAATACTGTGGTGTATTTTGCTGAACAGAGCATGAGAAGTTTATTTTAACTGATCTGTAAAAAAAAAAAAACAATAAATTCTCTTCAATCCTCTAACCTGTTTGTCATTAGCTGCATGCCTCTCAAGTTAGCAAGCTAATGTTTAGATAACCTAGCATAGGCTATTGCCTTGTAAAACTTTATTTAGAACAACAAATCTAACGTAGAGGTAAATATATATCAGTGTTAGTAATGTTATCTTTGTCATCGTCAATAAAATGCATTGTTTGTCTGAAATCTTTATTTCACTGAAAAGGAAAAAAAATGCTGTTGTGTCAATATTAATTAGTCCTTCACCATTACTAATTAGTCCTTCACCAAGCATGAATGACTGTTTAAACAATGAACAGGGAAGGTGTTTCTTTGTTTAATTTATATTTGTGTAACATACTTGATAACTTTATGGTGAATAATGGAGGATAGAGAACACATTATGACCAGTGCACCACTTGTAAACCTACTGTGGATCTAGGTATACCGTGAATCTGATTAGTTTAGCTTCATGGTTGCTAACAGCTGCGATAAATAAACAAGCCCCGCTCCACTCTCAGTTTTCTTAGATTATTGGAGGTGAACAAAGATTTTTTTTTTTAAATCTGCCATTATATCAGTTATCAGCGGTCACCTTCCCGCCCCAATATCGGTATCTGCGATAGCCAACATTTTCATAATGGACAGGCTCTAGCTCTACTCATCATATTTATCCCTTTAGAACATGTAGTGAAAAATAACCAGTTTGTTAGGTTCATGTACGGTTCATTCACAGTTAGTGTGCAACATCAAACTGAGATGTGTTATGAGAAATTTCACAGTTGACACAATAAACTGATGTCACTGAATCAAACAAGCAGATTCAGATAGTTCTTAATGAAATCAACACTTTTGTCTGTTAGCAAAATATTTCATGAACCACTTAACAAACTTAAACAAAACTCTCAAAAAGTAATCTACAACTGATTCACTTTTGAAGTGAACCCCATTTAAGATCATCGCCATAGCCAAGTGAGCTTAGAAAACTCAGTCAGTTTTACAAATGTTGTGCTAAAGTTTGGTGTGTTAGTAGCTGAGTCATTCACAACACATATTCCAAGCACACCTCGTTTCATAAGATCTTTGCTTAAAACTTCCATAAACTCATGAAGTCTACCCTGTTTGTCTTTAATTCAAATATTTCATGAACCACTGGACAGATTTGAATGAAACTTTAATTTTTGTTCAAATCTGCTATTTTCAGGGTTTGACCAAAACAACTGCAGCTTTTTTGCCACCAAAAAAAAGGTCACATACTAATATTTTGTTGGACCACCTTTAGTTTTGATTACAGCATGCAGTCACTGTGTCATTGTTTCTATAAACTTCTGCAATGTCACAAGATCTATTTCATCCAGTGTTGCATTAATTTTTCACCAAGATCTTGCATTGATGACTAGACACTAGGCATGATGGGTGCATCACTTTACCTGCCTCTCTTCTTACCCTGATGTGCCCATCACTCTGGAACAGGGTCAATCTGGACTCATCAGACCGCATGACCTTCTTCCATTGCTCCAGAGTCCAATCTTTATGCTCCCTAGCAAATTGAAGCATTTTTTCCAGTTAGCCTCACTGATTAGTGGTTTTCTTAAGGCTACACAGCTGTTCAGTCCCAATCCCTTGAGTTCCTTCACATTGTGTGTGTGGAAATGCTCTTACTTTCACTATTAAACATAGCCCTGAGTGCTTCTGTTGTTTTTCTTCAGTTTGATTTCACCAAACGTTTAAGTGATCACCGATCACGATCATTCAGGATTTTTTTCCCGGCCATATCACTTCAATGACGATGGGTCCTCATTATCCGTCCAGTGTTTAATAATGCGTTGGACAGTTCTTAAACCAATTTTAGTAGTTTCTTCAATCACCTTAGATGTTTTCTCTGCTTGATGCAGCCAATGATTTGACCCTTCTCAAACAGACTGACATCTTCTCCACGGCCACACAATGTGTCTTTCAACATGGTTGTTAAAGAAATGAGAAGCAACTCATTGCACCAGTTGGGGTTAAATAACTTGTTGCAGCTGAAAGATAATCACTCATGCAGTAATTATCCAACAGGAGGCTCGTACCTATTTGTTTAGTTAAATCCAGGTGGAGACTTTTTTTGGCCGGCAGTGTAAGATTATCTTAATCTCAAAGTCTCCCATGAAAGGCAGTGGGTGATATACACACCTTTAAGGAATGCTAGGCCTATAGTTATTTATGCAATGCATGTGGTTTCAGGTGCAGCCAGGATACAAGTCCAAAGCATGCTAATTGCAGGATAAATATGTCTTAAATTGGTCCTATATAGACTGAGCTTCTGAAAGAAAGATGTGTGGGTGCTTAACATGAAAGAAAATCAGTGGAACATGCAAAAAATGACCTAATTTTTCTTTGGATTTACAAAAAGAGCGGTAATTTTTGGCATAGGAACAAAGTTTTCTAAGCAACGCTATGAGCAGCATCAAAAAAAAAAAAGAAATTGAGCTGATTGCATTCACAAAGTGAAGCTGCAAAATAAACAACATGGAAAAATTAAAGAGAAGATATTAAACCTGTTGTTGGGGTCTAATAGTCTAATAATGAGGAGCTCTTTTAGCTGCTCTTTCACAGAATCAATACTACTCCATCAATCCAACCATCATCTTTACCCACGTCTTCCTTTTTGGGTCGCAGGGGTCACTGGTGCCCATGTCCAACATCAATGTGCAAGAGGCGGGGGACACCATGCACAAGTCTCCAGTCCATCACAGGGACACATAGAGACGAGACAAACAACCATTCTCTCTCTCATTCACACCTAGAGACAATTTAGAGTTACCAATCAGACTAACATGCATGTTTTTGGTCTGTGGGAGGAAACTAGAGTACCTGGAGAAAACCCACACATGCATGGACAAAACATGCAAACTCCACCGAGAAAGACCCCATGGCTGGGATTCGATCCAGCAACCTTCTCACTGAGAGGTGGCAGCTCTACCAACTGAGCCGCTCACCTGAAACTCAGTTATGAAAAAAAACAAAAACAATGATCCTCAAAACAGCAGCAGATCTCCAGGAGAAAGACTGAAATCCAATAATAATTGAGATGTTTCAGTCTGACTGGATTACTGTGGTGGGGCCTTAAAAGAGCAGTAGAAACCTCAACACTGGACAGAAGAGTGGGCCATATTTTCTCCACAAGCATGTGGAAGGTGAATAAATTTGTACAGGCAATGATTACTCCAAGTTCTCGATGCTGAACGTGGTTCTACAAGCTGCTAGATCGTTTATTATAACACTTGTTTCTGCCCTCTGCGGGAGCTGCCATGTTGTATTTGTGGGGAACAGAGTCTGCATGTGAGACTTTAAGTCTCGCCCATCGACACGTTTTACTGGATTAGATGTCGTCAGTTGATTGCTGTGCATAGCAACGTGCGCATGCACATGCCATTATGCATCGAGTAGCATCATCAAAAAATGCACATTAGTTTCTTGAGTGGTTTATGCTGTAAAAAAAAAAAAACTTCTTATAAAGATGCAATTTCTAGCTGGATTTTTATGTACAGTGAACCCTCGCTATAACGCGGTTCACCTTTCACGGTCTCGCTGTGTAAGAGTGACACTCACTGCAGCTCCAAGATGGCCGCTAATCATCA